AGAGGTAATTGTTGGACCTCAGAAGAAGGACCCTTTCTCCCTGTGTGGAAGCAGTGGTCTCTCTGCAAGGGTCTGGGATGGCCTCACTTGACCCAGAGCACTCTAGTACATGACCTTTTCTGATTGCAGAGTTCTAGGTCTGCCTCAGCAGGACCCTTGCTCCCTGTGTGGAAGCAGTGGTCTCTCTGAAGGGGTCCAGGATGGCCTCAGTTGACCCAGAGCACTCTAGTACATGAGCTTTTCTGCTGCAGAGTTCTAGATCTGCCTCAGCAGAGGTAATTGTTGGACCTCAGAAGGACCCCTGCTCCGTGTGGAAGCAGTGGTCTCTCTGCAAGAGTCTGGGATGCCCACAGCTGAGCCATAGCTCTGTAAAGCATGAGATTTTCTGATTGCAGAGTGCTAGGTCTACCTCAGCAGGAGTAATTGTTGGACCTCAGTAGAAGGACCATTTCTCCGTGTGGAAGCAGTGGTCTCCTGGGATGCCCTCAGCTGAGACAGCTCTCTAGAACCTGAATGCAGCATTCTGGGTCTGACTCAGTAAGGAGCATGTTAGACCGTAGCAGAAGGACCCTCTGCAAGGGTCTGGGAGGCCCGCAGCTCAGCCATAGCTCTCAAGAACACACGCTTTTCTGATTGCAGAGTTCTGGGTCTGCCTCAGCAGGAAGAATTGTTGGACCTCAGCAGATGGACCCTTTTTCCCTGTGTGGAAGCAGTGGTCTCACTGCAGGGGTCTGAAATGCCCTCAGCTGAGTCAGAGCTCTCTAGAGCATGAGCTTTTCTGAGTGCAGCATTCTGTGTCTGACTCAGTAAGGGGCATGTTAGACCTCAGCAGAAGGACCCTTGCTCCCTGTGTGGAAGCAGTGGTCTCTCTGCAGGGGTCTGAGATGCCCTCAGATGAGTCAGAGCTCTCTAGAGCATGAGCTTTTCTGAGTGCAGCATTCTGTGTCTGACTCAGTAAGGGGCATGTTAGACCTCAGCAGAAGGACCCTTGCTCCCTGTGTGGAAGTAGTGGTCTCTCTGCAAGGGTCTGGGATGCTCGTAGCTGAGCCATAGCGCTCTAGAGCACAAGCTTTTCTGATTGCAGAGTTCTGGGTCTGCCTCAGCAGGAGTAATTATTGGACCTCAGCAGAAGGACCCTTTCTCCCTGTGTGGAAGCAGTGCTCTCACTGCAGGGGTCTGAGATGCCCTCAGCTGAGTCAGAGCTCTCTAGAGCATGAGCTTTTCCTATTGCAGAGTTCTAGGTCTGACTCAGCAGGGGGCATTGTTGGGACCTCAGCAGAGGGACCACTGCTTTCACTGATTTTTTAAAATTCAGTGCTATTCAGCATTAGGTTGAGGCTTGCAAATTTTAACACTTGAGGAGGGAAAAAAAAAAAAAAAAGGGAACTCCAGCCGAAAAATAAAGGAAAGTCTACGGCCCTCAAGTTGCATGAAAGTCAGACCAAAATAGTGTATGAACTACTTTGAAGTCACTGCAAATTTAAGTGGCACATATACGAATGGTTATTATTGGAAAACATGGAGTACGACTTGTCATGCAACCTTGATGTCCAAAGTCGCATGGCACAAGAGTGAATGGGGTCTTAAAAGTCGAAGCGGCCTCAAAGTAGTTCATGCGCCTCTTTGGTCCAACTGTCATGCTGCTTGAGGGCTGTAGACTTCAATGCTAACCGTCAAAATTTGCACCTGAATGTTTTACAAGCATCAGTTGACCATTACCATTGGTCAAAGCCAAAGTCGCACCCATCTAAAGTTGTGTGAAAGTTGCGCTCCAAAGTTGCGCAACAAGTGTGAATGGAGCCGAAGTCCCTGCAACAGAATGCAAGAATGATGGCTGCTACATTTGCCCCGTGTGTGGGTCATGGTGGGGTCTGTACATGCTGTAACGTTGGGAAGAAAGCACGAGGCTACTTGGCACTTATCCATACAATGCCAAGGTGGCAAGGAGGGTCGCTCCACCTTGGTGGCCCCGCCATACGTGACCAGGGCAGGGAGAACGAGGTCAGAGGTGCAGAGCTTGTCAATCGGTGGAGCAAGCCAGCCACATAGGTTTCCTTATACCTGGCCCTTAAGACCCATTTTAGATGGGCGTCCCGATTAGGTCCACATGCCAGTTTTTCAGGGGGGCCGGATCAGAAGGTCTGGGTGTAAAATGGGCAAAGGAGTCCTTTTAGTCCCAGCTGCTCTACCCGTGTCCAGGTACTGAGCGGACACAGACCTGTCCATCCACCCGCTCTGCTCCAATCAGCTCGCAGATCCTCCTGCTGATCCCAATGGAATCCGCCTCATGTAAAAAGGGCCTTAAAAGGGGTCCTAATGGCGGGGGCGTTTACCAGACTTCCCAATCAGGTGATCACCAATTGGCTGACACAGTGACCGATCAGGAGACCTTCCTACCGGGACCCAACCACCACCCATGTCCAGCAGCTGTTGGTGACAGTGCGGTCGCAGTGCTGGGGTTATGCAGTTGAGCCGGCTGCATGATGTTATAGGCCTCCGCCATGCACCCACGCATTGGAATACTCCTCCCCTCCCCTCCCCCCCCCCCCCCCATGTCAAATCAATCAACGGAAGTTCTTTAACGCCCAAAACGCCTTTTGAACCCAATTTCTGATATTCTGACATGATCTGTGATTGCTTTTCCCCAATTCAGGCTTCGTTCAGACTTGCAGTTGGCGGTTCATCAAAAATTAGCGGTTGAGCTGCATTTTTGTTGTTTACGAAGGCTAGGTTCACATCTGTGCGGGTGGTGCCGCTGCGGATCCGCATGAAAATCCGTGCAGCCGCACCACCCGCACAGAGGACTGCGGACCCGCGGGCAGGTGCCAGTCGTTCGAACGGCACGCCGCCCCGCACTGGAAAATGCAACCGTACTGGGAACCTCGGCTGCGTTTTCCAAAGAAGTGCCGGGACTTCTTCCCAGCGTGTCCCGGGGCACGGGAATCTATTCAAATTAATGGGCTGTCATGCCCCCGCACGGCCACGTGAACCAGGGCTAAATGCCCCCCTTAACACCAGTGCCTGCCGGCCCTTTAAGGAATTTCTGGTGGGGTTTAGGGTCATGTGACCACTGATGACGGTCACATGATCAGAAAGCTCCTGATCGCAAGTAGCGATCGCACCCAGCACGTTTGCTTACATTGGGGTGCAAAAATACGTGACCTCTAAGGCCCAGCCGTTGAGTGGCCGCATATTTGCAACCGAGAAAATGCAACAGGCAGCGGACGGGGAGGTTTACATGCCACAGTCACAATGGTTGGCACCCCCATGGCATGTAGGTTCAAACCGCCCATCCCCCCCGCTCTAATGGGTCTTCCTCTGTCTTTTCAGCTAAGCTTCTGGTGTCACCAGTATGAAATCCCAAGAGAAACTGCATTTTGTCACCATTGGTAGATAATTGATTTTTTTTATGGTGACAACAGCAGCTTAGCTAGAAAAAAAAATGACCTCGGCTGTTACCGACCGTTAGAAACGCATCAGCGGTCAAAAAGTATTTGAAATATTTAAATGATATAAAGCGCCAAAAAATACAACATAATCGGAAGTGCAGCTGACAGTCCAATACCCCCCCCTTCCCCCCGGGTGGTTGGCAAATAAAGAAGTATTTGGAACCTGGCTAGAGTCTGAAACTACTATTGTGTATGCAAAAAAAAAAAAAACGCAGAGTTTTGGGCGGAGCAAGTAGCAAAAAGGGAAAGTCAATGCATTGCAAGGTCTGCAGACCGCAAGAACCTCCTATCAGAACAACCCAAGGAGCACATAGTACAGCAGGGGGGTGCAAAGCTTCCACGTGAGAATAAATTTGGCTTTTAGTACCAGTTACATGTCAACCCATAAAAAAATATATAATCAAGGTGTTATTCTACAGATCGGGGTTCAGTTCCTCCAAAAAAGACGCAGGCTTGCTTAGCTACCGGCTAAGTTCTCTCTTGAAACAGCCACCGACTGCCCCCCCATGACTGCAATTTCAGTCGCAGACTTAAACTCCCCGGATTAAGTCGCAAGACAAGTTCAACTTGAACGCCTATTTCATGGGATAACATGCATCTGTTTCAAGAGACAACTCAGCCGCGGGCGACAAACTCGCAGCTCAACGGAGGAGACTTTTTCATACGAGCAAATCATATACAAGTACACACTTCCTTTTCCTCTTAAAATTTAAAGGGACTGTCCTACTCCAACAGCATACTCCTACCTGTCAAGGTGTGGTCTGTAAAGTCCTGTATTGCTTTGGTGTGGCCAGGATAACAAAAACAAAAAAAAAATATAAAAAAAAAAAAAGCAAAATCATTTCAATCTTTCTACTTGGCATTAAAAAGCAAACTGGATAACAAGTAGCTGAAAAAAAAAATCGTTCACACAGCCACAGCACAGATCACGGTTTTAAAAACGGGGAGGAAAAAAAAAAAAATTAAATATTTTTCTCAACACAGAATTTAAGGGGAAAAAAAAAAAAAAAAAAAAAAAAAAAAAAGGTCACCCTTTCACCAGCAAAAAAAAAACAAACAAAAACAAAAAAAAAAAAATAAACCCTATAAATATTTGCCACCGTACTGCTCCAAGATCACACTCTTCCTCTCAAACAGACGTAAAATCAGAGAAGGGAACATAAATATTACACAAAAAAAATAAAAAAAAAAAAGGGGGAAAAACCTAGAAAAAAAAAAAAAACCTAACTATAGTAGCACCTAGAACCAAAAAAAAAAAAACAAAAAAACAAAAAAAGTCTAAGAGTAAGAAACCTAAATTTTTATAAACCCATACGGCAGCTGGCATGGGTAGAGATCATCCCATTCTGGTAGATTGCGCCCGAGGTCGGACTGGTTTTTTTTTTTTTTTTGCACTGAGGAAGCCAAAAGAAACAAATAATGGAGTCCAGTTATCCCAGTCCCATGAGACCTTTCAACGGGTACTTTAGGTACAGCAGCCATTATACGCTGCCCGCGTCCTGCAGGAGAAGTCCGTGCGAAAGATGAGAGGGTCAAAACGCGCCGATCGGTTTATTCTCCCAGAATGAGTTTGACGAAGGACGCCACGTCAGTGTTCTTCGATTCGTGCAGCGTGAAAAACGGGTGTTGCTGTGTGGGGATAAAAAAGGGAATTGAGATCAAAAACACAAAAAAAAAAAAAGACTTAAAAAATGAACCCCCTGGGGGTGGGGGAGGGGGGACAAACATGGGCTTGACCTTTATTATAGGGTTGTACTGATCCTGGTATACGAGTACTCGTGCAAATGTGCAAATACCTCAAACCGATACCTTTTCCGTGCGATTTGAGCCCATACAAAAATGAATGAGCTCAAATCGCACTGCAAAGAATCGAATGTCATTTCAACAAGAATGCGGTTTCCCTGCAGGTGCGGTGCGATTTGCGCCATTCATTTATTGGCGAGTACTTGAGCACAAGTATCCGTACTCGCCAATAGGAAGGAAAAAAAAAAAGAAAAAAAAGAAAAACTGTATTGGTGCAATCCTACTTTAGTACATAAATTCTGTGTTCTACTTGTACATTGCTGAGGTGCAAATCAGACTCTTCCTGGTCCTCCTCCAGTAACTTCACACACATTGGCCTTTCACCAGTCAGATCCCACCTCCAGAGCACATAGAACTTCCCCCATTGGGATCCCACCACCGGCGCACATAGAATTCCCCCCATTGGGATCCCACCTCCAGCACACATAAAACTTCCCCCATCGGGATCCCACCTCCAGCACACACAGAATTCCCCCCATCGGGATCCCACTTTCAGCACACATAGAATTCCCCCCATCGGGATCCCACCACCGGCGCACATAGAATTTCCCCCATCGGGATCCCACCACCGGCACACATAGAACTTCCCCCATTGGGATCCCACCTCCGGCACACATAGAACTTCCCCCATTGGGATCCCACCTCCGGCACACATAGAACTTCCCCCATTGGGATCCCACCTCCAGCGCACATAGAATTCCCCCCATCGGGATCCCACCTCCGGCACACATAGAATTTCCCCCATCGGGATCCCACCTCCGGCACACATAGAATTTCCCCCATCGGGATCCCACCTCCGGCACACATAGAACTTCCCCCATCGGGATCCCACCTCCGGCACACATAGAACTTCCCCCATCGGGATCCCACCTCCAGCGCACATAGAACTTCCCCCATCGGGATCCCACCTCCAGCGCACATAGAACTTCCCCCATCGGGATCCCACCTCCAGCGCACATAGAACTTCCCCCATCGGGATCCCACCTCCAGCGCACATAGAACTTCCCCCATCGGGATCCCACCTCCAGCGCACATAGAACTTCCCCCATCGGGATCCCACCTCCAGCGCACATAGAACTTCCCCCATCGGGATCCCACCTCCAGCGCACATAGAACTTCCCCCATCGGGATCCCACCTCCAGCGCACATAGAACTTCCCCCATCGGGATCCCACCTCCAGCGCACATAGAACTTCCCCCATCGGGTTCCCACCACCGGTGCACATAGAATTTCGCCCATTGGGATCCCACCTCCAGCGCACATAGAATTTCCCCCATTGGGATCTCACCTCCAGTTGTACATAGAATTTTGCCCACTGGGATCCCACCTCAAGCGCAGATTGGCCTATCGCCAGCGAGATCCCACTTCCAGCATGCGCACGCATTGGTCAGTCCCCAGACAGAGATTCCCATCTCCAGCACACAGACTGGTCAGCTCCCCGTGACTCACACCTTCCTCCTTCACATTAGCCTTTCCCTAGTGAGATCCCACCTCCATGGAGCGCACTTATGCACACACAGTAGCCTTTACCCCCAGCACACAGACTGCTCCCTCCCCAGTGACATCACCCCTCCATCGCATGCATTGGCCTTCCCCACAGAGATCCCACCCCCAGCACACAGACTGCTCCCTCCCCAGTGACATCACCCCTCCATCGCATGCATTGGCCTTCCCCACAGAGATCCCACCCCCAGCACACAGACTGCTCCCTCCCCAGTGACATCACCCCTCCATCGCATGCATTGGCCTTCCCCACAGAGATCCCACCCCCAGCACACAGACTGCTCCCTCCCCAGTGAAATCACCCCTCCATCGCATGCATTGGCCTTCCCCACAGAGATCCCACCCCCAGCACACAGACTGCTCCCTCCCCAGTGACATCACCCCTCCATCGCACACATTGGCCTTCCCCACTGAGATCCCACCCCCAGCACACAAGACTGCTCCCTCCCCAGTGACATCACACCTCCATCGCATGCATTGGCCTTCCCCACTGAGATCCCACCCCCAGCACACAAGACTGCTCCCTCCCCAGTGACATCACCCCTCCATCGCACGCATTGGCCTTTCCCACTGAGATCCCACCCCCAGCACACAAGACTGCTCCCTCCCCAGTGACATCACCCCTCCATCGCATGCATTGGCCTTCCCCCACTGAGATCCCACCCCCAGCACACAGACTGCTCCCTCCCCAGTGACATCACCCCTCCATCGCACGCATTGGCCTTCCCCACTGAGATCCCTCCCCCAGCACACAGACTGCTCCCTCCCCAGTGACATCACACCTCCATCGCATGCATTGGCCTTCCCCACTGAGATCCCACCCCCAGCACACAGACTGCTCCCTCCCCAGTGACATCACCCCTCCATCACATGCATTGGCCTTCCCCACTGAGATCCCACCCCCAGCACACAAGACTGCTCCCTCCCCAGTGACATCACACCTCCATCGCACGCATTGGCCTTTCCCCACTGAGATCCCACCCCCAGCACACAGACTGCTCCCCCTCCCCAGTGACATCACACCTCCATCGCACGCATTGGCCTTTCCCCACTGAGATCCCACCCCCAGCACACAGACTGCTCCCTCCCCAGTGACATCACCCCTCCATTGCACGCATTGGCCTTCCCCACTGAGATCCCACCCCCAGCACACAGACTGCTCCCTCCCCAGTGACATCACACCTCCATCGCACGCATTGGCCTTTCCCCACTGAGATCCCACCCCCAGCACACACACATCGATTTTTCCGTCCTTCAGCATACTTTCCCTTTCAAAGCACCAGTATGTAAGGAAAGGATTCTGATTGGCTGATCTAGATAACAAGAATACACTGATAAAGGCAACTTTATCACAAAAAAAAAAGAAAATGGCGGCTGTCGGGTGACACCACACATCTGTGCTATATACTCACCATAAGCTCTGCGTAAGTTGGACGCTCTTTGGAATTCTTCTTCAAGCTGTCAGGAGACAGAAGATTGTGTAAGATCTGTGCAGAGATAGTCTGAGAACAATTCATACAAAGCAGGAAGAGGAGCCGCCATACAGGCCAACGCAGACATACTCCAGAGTACAATCCATTACCAAACCGAACGAGCCCAGAGAGTGATCAGGGATACAAGAAGTCACCAATCCTCTTCTCTCGGTGAGGAGGAAGTGCTTACAAGAAAGGAAAGTCTCCCCATGTGTGTCATGACCTACCGCACTGCCGAAAAAGACTGCCAGCCCAACATTTGCTGGAAGAGGTAGGCCTGTCTAACACTAGCCTTCTTGGTGCTCACTGCTGTCACCGCTTCTGGGTGGTACTGAAGTCTCTTGTCCCATGATTCTGTGTTGTGGAGTTTCCCTCTCCAACAAACGCAAGTGCAACTGAGACTAGAGTTGTACAGTTTATAGGTCACATTAAAGGTGGAAAATGTTCTGAAATGATTTATCTTATCTTCTTTTACATAACAGAAACCTGACATGTTAACAGGGGCGGGCGTGAAGACTTTTTATATCCACTGTATAGATAGAGAGAATATCTAAACAAGTGGATATAAAAAAAATCACACACACACACACACTTCTAATCAAGTGGATATAAAAAGTCTACACGCCCCTGTTAACATGTCAGGTTTCTGTGATGTAAAAAAAAAAAAAAAAAAAGAATTTCAGGACTTTTTCCACCTTTAATGTGACCTATGAAACTGTACAACTCAATTGAACAACAACAATTTGAAATTATACACACATTATACACACATATATATATATATATATATATCCCATCAGAGCAGAGTTCATGTTTCTGCTGCTATGAACCCGTTTTTATTCGGCAATTACTTCGTTATTAAGATAAAGCAACACACATTTACCTTTTATCTCAGCAACGTAGGTCCTGCATAGGTGGTTTTATTATACCCAATCTTACTTTTATATCTCTATCATTGGAATAAGGGATATAAACATTTACTTGTTAGGCTAAGTTCACACTGGCTGTTAGCAGGTGTTAGACAGGCGTTTGGGAAGCGTTTATACATTGGACCTATGGCAGCACAAGGTGCTGTTCACACTGAAGCGTTAGTGTTGCAGCAAAATGAACGCCTCGTGTCAAGTCAGGAGGAGCTGAAGCCTCCCATTCAAGTTTATGGTGATGGTCCTCAAATGCTTGGCAGGCGTTTGCGAGGCGTGAATACCATTAACTTCAGTATAGGCGTTTTTGGTGCGCTATTAAAGCTTGGAAAACGGCTAAAAAATGTGCATAGGGCGTTTGGGGAGCATTTGAGGAGAGTTAAAAACGCTTCCCATATGCCTGTCAAACACTATAGGGGCGTTTGGCAAGAGCTAGAAATAAGTTAAGCGTGAACGAGCTCTTACTTTGATCTCCCATCTGATCAATGTTTATAAACAATGTTACTTTTTACCTCTATCTCCCACCACCCCCCCTCCTTCCCTGATCAATGTTTATAAACAATGTTACTTTGTATCTCCCATCTGATCAATGTTTATAAACAATGTTACTTTTTACCTCTATCTCCTACCACCCCCCCCCCCCCCCTTCCCTGATCAATGTTTAGAAACAATGTTACTTTGTTTATATACATCAGACAGGAGATACAAAGTAACATTGTTTATAAACATTGATCAGACAGGAGATAGAGCGATACAAAGTAACATTGTTTATATACATCGATCAGACAGGAGAAACAATGTTACCTTGTATCTCTATCTCCCATCTGATCAATGTTTATAAACAATGTTACTTTTTACCTCTATCTCCCACCACCCCCCCCCCCCCTTCCCTGATCAATGTTTAGAAACAATGTTACTTTGTTTATATACATCAGACAGGAGATACAAAGTAACATTGTTTATAAACATTGATCAGACAGGAGATAGAGCGATACAAAGTAACATTGTTTATATACATCGATCAGACAGGAGAAACAATGTTACCTTGTATCTCTATCTCCCATCTGATCAATGTTTATAAACAATGTTACTTTTTACCTCTATCTCCCACCACCCCCCCCCCCCTTCCCTGATCAATGTTTAGAAACAATGTTACTTTGTTTATATACATCAGACAGGAGATACAAAGTAACATTGTTTATAAACATTGATCAGACAGGAGATAGAGCGATACAAAGTAACATTGTTTATATACATCGATCAGACAGGAGAAACAATGTTACCTTGTATCTCTATCTCCCATCTGATCAATGTTTATAAACAATGTTACTTTTTACCTCTAACTCCCACCACCCCCCCCTCCCTGATCAATGTTTATAAACAATGTTACTTTGTTTATATACATCAGACAGGAGATACAAAGTAACATTGTTTACAAACATTGATCAGACAGGAGATAGAGCGATACAAAGTAACATTGTTTATATACATCGATCAGACAGGAGAAACAATGTTACCTTGTATCTCTATCTCCCATCTGATCAATGTTTATAAACAATGTTACCTTTTACCTCTCTATCTCCTGTCTGATTAATGTTTATAAACAATATTACTTTGTATCTCCAATCTGATGATTATAAACAATGTTACTTTGTATCTCATCTCCAGTATAAATAATGTAACTTTGTATCTGCATCTTGTACAGAAATACTGTATCAGAAGGTGAATTTCTGATATCACCTGCAGCATTATCTGCTGTATTGAACGTGGGGAGGAAGAGGGGAGGAGGAGGGGCAGACGATACACATCCCGTGTACTTCAATGACATTTCTTTGGCATGGCCAAGGTCTTCAACTGTTTAAAAGCAAAATGTTGCTCTATGACTGCAGTAAACCCTCAAAACAGCAGCAGTGACACACAGACCGGCGCTGTCATCATCTGAGGTCAAGCGGCAGACCGTGTGACATCCGCAAAGCCCACCACTTCTCGCTGTCTAAAAAAAATATATATATTTAAAAAAAAAAAAAAAAAAAAGAAGAAGCGCCTACAGATCCTCGGTCAGGAAGTCGATCCTCGGTCAGGAAGTTTGCAGCGATTGCTTCCGCTCCGATGATCTCGGGGGAAACGTTCCAGACAGACAATAGCAGGACAGGCTGAATCAAGCAAAGCCAGTAAAACCTGAGCTGTCCTCCTGTTCCATCAAGGCCTATGGGATTCCTGAAAGCCGGGGGGGAGCCGGACGCACTCCGGGGCCCCCCCCATGGTAAACACATTGCTCACACTTACCGTATTAATAATGTGTTTATCGGCGGACAGAATCCGGAATGAATTGGGTCAGGAGATGCCGTGTGTCACTGTGGAAGGCGATACGTGTGAACGGCCACTTCTCAGATTCAGGAATGCTAACAATGTACACAATCGGAGGATCCCACAGGAACCAATCAGAATTTGCTATGAGTTTAGGCACAAACTCCATGCACAGCTCTGGGTCTCTAAAGATCAGGAACCAGGGGGGCTGCTTCACAATCACGTGATCGCTGTGATCGCTGTGATAGCCTGTGATTGGCTGTCAATGATCAGTCACTGTACAGCCGCGCCCATGTGTTTTTTTTTTGTATTTTTTTTCTTCCTTTGAATGGAGAAAAAGATAAATTTTGTGCTGAGGAGAAAACTATATACAAAAATAAACAAAAAATATAAAAATAAAGATAAAATGAAATAGAAAAAAGTTGAACTAGGTCAGTATCAGGGATAGGGTCAAGGTTACAGTCAAAGGTCATGATCGGTGTCAAAGGTCAGGTCAGTGTATTTTAGATACATTTTGGGGATGTAAGAACCCCCTTTTTCAAGAACCTCCTACCTCATTTACCATTGGAGGACATGCCCTTTTATATGCAATGGCCACTATTGGCAGCTACTTCCCCCAGCCGGCCATATAGGACATCACTTCCTGAGAGCGACGCCACTGCCGGCTCCTGAGAGCGACGCCACTGCCGGCTCCTGAGAGCGACGCCACTGCCGGCTCCTGAGAGCGACGCCACTGCCGGCTCCTGAGAGCGACGCCACTGCCGGCTCCTGAGAGCGACGCCACTGCCGGCTCCTGAGAGCGACGCCACTGCCGGCTCCTGAGAGCGACGCCACTGCCGGCTCCTGAGAGCGACGCCACTGCCGGCTCCTGAGAGCGACGCCACTGCCGGCTCCTGAGAGCGACGCCACTGCCGGCTCCTGAGAGCGACGCCACTGCCGGCTCCTGAGAGCGACGCCACTTCCGGCGCCGGCTCCTGAGAGCGACGCCACTTCCGGCGCCGGCTCCTGAGAGCGACGCCACTTCCGGCGCCGGCTCCTGAGAGCGACGCCACTTCCGGCGCCGGCTCCTGAGAGCGACGCCACTTCCGGCGCCGGCTCCTGAGAGCGACGCCACTTCCGGCGCCGGCTCCTGAGAGCGACGCCACTTCCGGCGCCGGCTCCTGAGAGCGACGCCACTTCCGGCGCCGGCTCCTGAGAGCGACGCCACTTCCGGCGCCGGCTCCTGAGAGCGACGCCACTTCCGGCGCCGGCTCCTGAGAGCGACGCCACTTCCGGCGCCGGCTCCTGAGAGCGACGCCACTTCCGGCGCCGGCTCCTGAGAGCGACGCCACTTCCGGCGCCGGCTCCTGAGAGCGACGCCACTTCCGGCGCCGGCTCCTGAGAGCGACGCCACTTCCGGCGCCGGCTCCTGAGAGTGACGCCACTTCCGGCGCCGGCTCCTGAGAGTGACGTCACCTCCGGCGCCTGTTTCTGAGAGCGACGTCACCTCCGGCGCCTGTTTCTGAGAGTGACGTCACCTCCGGCGCCTGTTTCTGAGAGCGACGTCACCTCCAGCGCCTGTTTCTGAGAGCGACGTCACCTCCAGCGCCTGTTTCTGAGAGCGACGTCACCTCCAGCGCCTGTTTCTGAGAGTGACGTCACTTCCTGTTCCCTCCATGGGAGCGGACAGAGAATGGAAAACATCCAACTGCTCCCCCAAGAATGGACTGGAAGTGATGTCTTCTAAGTACAATCAGGATGCGGAAACCACTAGATGGGAGATTGAAGCAGTTGTGGGCAAAGTGTGCTTTTCTAGAGGTAAGCTGGAATCATGTAACAAGAGGATGCAGTGCTACCCAAAAGCAGTGTGTGTGAACCCGGCTGAATCCGCAGATCACAATAACTGAGAGGATTCTAGAAGTGCCCAAAAATGGTCTTCAATAAATATCCTGCCCCAGACACCCCGGACTGACGAACATTTCAGGCACTTTGAAGTGTTCTTACCATTTTGAGGTAAAATCGACGAAATCGGCGGAGAACTTTTCTGCAGGCAACTGTGGCGACGGCTCCTCGACCACCTGCTTCAGCTGCTGGAACGGAGTCCCCCACGAGTCGTACGGGAACCGCAGGATAGCGAGCTCGATCTGATAGGCAGAAGAGAGGAAGAGGATAACTGTTTAGATTACGACCTCCGGCCTTCTCTTCAGTTTTGTACAGGTGCAGCAGGGCCCCTCTCCTGGATTGAAACAGCTTCCTCTGATTTCACTGCACACTGTGAGCCTCTCACAGTGTGCGTTAGAAGCCCGATATGCATACAAACCCCCCGCCTAATTTCCTGGCTGGAGGACGTCCAGCATCATCTAGCCCAGGGGTAGGCAACCTGCGGCTCTCTAGCTGTTGTGGAACTACATTTCCCATGAGGCATTGCAAAGATTCCAAAACTGACAGTTACAGCTATGACTTGCAGAGGTATGATGGAACTTGTAGTCCTGCGGCTCTTAGGTTGCCTACCCCTGATCTAGCCCTTTCCTCCCCAGCCTGACTGTCCCTGGCCCCGCCCCTTTCATTCATTGTATTTATTTCAGGTAGCGCCGTCAATTTACATATATATTGTACATTCACATCAGTCCCTAACCCTCAAGGGGCGTACAATCTATATACTACACCTACATACTAGGGCCAATTTAGTCAGGAGCCAATTCACCTACCAGCATGTCTTTGGAGTGTGGGAGGAAACAGGAGTACCCAGAGGAAACCCACGCAGGCACAGGGAGAACATTTAAACTCCAGGCAGGTAGTGCTGGGATTCGAACCAATGACCCGAGTACTGCCAGGCAGAAGTGCTAACCACTTAGCCACTGTGCTGTCCATATTGTATTTCAGTTCTTTCAATCATGGAGGCTCAGCATGACATGTGGGTGTTACCTAGGGTGCACGGCATGCATATACCCTCAAGGGGCGTACAATCTATATACTACACACTAGGGCCAATTTAGACAGGAGCCAATTCACCTACCAGCATGTCTTTGGAGTGTGGGAGGAAACCGGAGTACCCGGAGGAAATCCACGTAGGCTCAGGGAGAACATGCAAACTCCAGGCAGGTGGTGCCGTGGTTGGGATTCGAACCGACAACCCCAGTGCTGCAAGGTGGAAGTGCTAACCACTTAGCCGCTGTGTTGCATGTATTGTATTTCAGTTCTTTCAAACATGGAGGCTCAGCATGACTTGTGGGTGTTACCTAAGGCGGTCTGCATGCATACCCCCCCCCCCCCGGTCTAGGAACACCCACTTCTCCACACTGACCACCCACCAAGGCACTGATCATTTGCATAACCACACCCAGGAGCCTGCCCCACTCCTTGTATTCAATCCTACTGGGGAGTTTTCCCTTCACTTTCACTTCCACAGACACAAGAGAATGGAGAGGAAATCCTTTCGTACCACAAGAGTATAATAATCACCCCACACAATGGGCTCCGCCATATCAGGTAAAGCGCCCACAATGTTCCTACAGAGACCAGGGGGCACATATATCACAAGAAGGAGATTCTGCCTACATCATCTGTTCTATCTCCCCTTCGTTTTTTGCGCATGATTACTTTTACTTTGCAGAATGCGTGTGCTGTATAGAGATCACAACCCAGAATCATCCCAGGAGGTGGCGCTACAGATGTAGTTCACATTTTATTATTAATCATTCAGGTACAATTCTTCCTCAGAAGCCGATGGGAGGTTTACATGCTGAGAATTCAGAACTCATAAAAGATGAATTATAAAACATTTTGTTTTATACACATTGGGGGGGGGGTACTATACTGTGCACCCGTGCGAGGGCTTTGTCTGCATGCATGAGTGTTCCGTGCATCCAGTCCCGTCCATGTCAATGCGAGAGACAATCAGACAGCCGCATTGGCGCAGGTCCCTGAACTGGCCCTGTCTGTGCTTGGGGACCCAAACTGCTGCCAAAACAGGGGTGTATTTGGGATTCGTGCTGCCCTAGGCAACACAAAAATCGGCTCCCCCCCACGGAGAGACCCTGAGGCTAGGTTCACATATGTGTAGCCGCTGTGGATCCGCATGCAAATCCATGCAGCTGCAGAGAGAAATGCGGACCCGCGGGTGGGTGCCATTAGTTATAGAGGCACGCCAACCGCACCGGGGACCGAGGTTCCATTCAGGCTGCGTTTTCAGAAGTGCAGGGACCTGCGTGTCACGGGCAGAGGCAGACTGACAACTCATGGGGCCCCCGGGCAGTAGGGGATCATGGGGCCCGTGTCCTCGCCCATACTCAAACCACACCCAAAAAAGCCTATGAAAAAGGTACCAGGGGCATCTCATGGGGCCCCCTACTGACCTCGGGCAGTGCCCGGGTTCCCAAATGGTCAGTCCGCCCCTGGTCACCAGTCCATTCAAATGAATGGGCTCTAGTGCCCGCACACAACACGGCCTGTACGGCCGCATATATGTGAACCGGGGGCTGACACTGACCAACACCCACCTCCCCCATGAAGAGAGCCTGACATTGAACACCTCCACCCCAGCCCTCCCCCCCCATCCAAGAGAGCCTTCCACTACCACCGCCCCCCCCCATACACTGGCAACCCCCCCCCCCACCCCAGCGAGAGATGGACACTCTGCTTCACAGCTTCGGACATCCCCGGGAACCAGAGGCAGGCTCTGCATACACCATCAAGAAGCCCGAAACCTATCAGATCCCATCAGGTCCCCATGCGGGGCGTTTCCCTTCTTGCATCCCATCTTTCGGGGGGGGCGGCACTGCCACCCTGAAAAATGCTGCTGCCCCCCTCAAAAATGCTGCCCTAGGCAAATGCCTTGTTTTCCTTGTGGTACATACGCCCCCTGCTGCCAGAGAGGGAGCAGCGGTTGTGTCAGTGTAGCTGCTGCATCCCAACTGACATGAATGGGACTTCCTGCACGGGGATACGCGGAACACCAGTGCAATCATGACTCTTGCACGGGCGTATGAAGAAAAAAAAAAAAAAAATGAAATCCATTCTCCGCAGTATCGCATGTAATGAGCATGCTACAAAGTAAACTCTTCATGCAGAAGCTGCAACTGTCAGCCGAGCATTTTTACTGCCCAACAGACCAAACGCAGGGTCGAAAAGAAAAGCAGCTTCCATCAGAGGCTTCTCACGGCAGAGCTCCGAGACTCGTGACCGGCTCTGAAAGAAGATCGCTGATCTCGCTAGTGGCGGGTGAGAAACGTTTCGCCATGGGTGAGGGGGGACATTCGTGTGAGTTTACTGCCCCCGTGTGGTGAAACATCACATCGCCGTGCGACCGGATAATGAAGAGCTGCAGCTGAACGAACGGGAAGCAAAAGTCTCACCGACAGAACAAACGTTAAATCTGTGTTTACATTCGGATCGTTTCTTGGTATTCTACGATTCTATTATTCTTTCATTAACCTTTTTGCTGCCAGGTCTGTACACCATACGGACCTGATAGTGGGGGGGGGGTTTACACACATAACAGAGGCTGCAGCCCCCATGATTGTGTCTAAAACTGTCAGAATTCTGCTGGAAATTGCTGGAAACAGCCCCCGGTAACATGCCCGCACTTCCCGTGCTCCCGCCATGTGTTTTGGGTTCAACTCACCCACCTGTGGGCCCGGACCAACATGGCTGGTGGAGGGGGAGAGAGCAGAGCAGACAAACGCTCTCCCCTCCCCTTCATCCTGTGACCCGGAAAGGTGGCATACGTCACTTCCGGGTCACCGCCGTCACTTTCCCCGGTTAGAATAGCCGTGTATTGCAATCAGGGGCGGACTGACAACGCATGGGGCCCCCGGGCAATAGGGGATCATGGGGCCCCTGTGTCCTCGCCCACACCCAAAAAAGCCTATGAAAAAGCCAATGAAAGGTACCAGGGGCATCTCATGGGGCCCCCTACTGACTCCGGCCCCTGGGGCAGTGCCCGAGTGCTCGAATGGTCAGTCCGCCCCTGATTGTAATACATTTGGTGGATTGCAGAGGAGACATTGGGGATCTTTTAGACCCTGCGTGTCTCATTAATCACTTCCCGTCGAGCCGCTGTATATAAACTGCCGGACGGTGGCAGTGCAGGGGCGGGGTTGGCGTTCATAAACGGCGCCCGCCATTCTGGACTGTGCGCGCTCCCTGGGAGTGCGCAGCACCGCGATCCGTTGCCTGCTGTGTCCTCCAGACACAGTGGAACACCGATCATCGTACGGGACCTCTGTGGAAGGTCCCGATCATGTGATCACTGGGTCTCCTCATCGTTCTATATCATACCATAGTGATTCCAAGGCTCCAAATATCAGACTTCACACTGTATCCTTTCTGGTTCAGCTCGGGGTTTATCCTTTCCGGCTGAAAAAAAGAAAGAAAGTAGATTACTGAAAAAACGGGAAAATATACAAAAAGGTAAAACGCAATCAGTAAAATCGCATGAAAACTTACACATGAAAAAAATCAATGAAGACCAACTAGATGGAAAATGAGGCACCGCACAGAGAAAACCAGCAGGGCGCACAGAGAAAATGAGCAAACGTACGGGGAGCACAGAGAGCGAGCGTACGGGGCGCACGCACAGAGAGAGCGGGCGCACGGGCGCACGCACAGAGAGAGCGGGCGCACGGGGCGCACGCACAGAGAGAGCGGGCGCACGGGGCGCACAGCAGAGAGAGAGAGAGAGCGGGCGCACGGGGCGCACAGAGAGAGAGAGAGAGCGGGCGCACGGGGCGCACACAGAGAGAGAGAGAGCGACGGGGCGCACAGGAGAGAGCACGGCGGGCGCACAGAGCGAGAGAGAGAGCGGCGCACGGGGCGCACAGAGAGAGAGAGAGAGCGGGCGCACGGGGCGCACAGAGAGAGAGAGAGCGGGCGCACGGGGCGCACAGAGAGAGAGAGAGCGAGCGCGCACGGGGCGCACAGAGAGAGAGAGAGAGAGCGGGCGCACGGGGCGCACAGAGAGAGAGAGAGAGAGAGAGCGAGCGCACGGGGCGCACAGAGAGAGAGAGAGAGCGAGCGCACGGGGCGCACAGAGAGAGAGAGCGAGGCGAGAGAGAGAGAGAGCGAGCGCACGGGGCGCACAGAGAGAGAGAGAGCGAGCGCACGGGGCGCACAGAGAGCGAGAGCGAGCGCACGGGGCGCACAGAGAGCGAGCACGAGCACAGAGCGAGCGCACGGGGCGCACAGAGAGAGCGCGAGCGCACGGGGCGCACAGAGAGCGAGCGCACGGGGCGCACAGAGAGCGAGCGCACGGGGCGCACAGAGAGCGAGCGCACGGGGCGCACAGAGAGAGCACAGAGAGAGAGCGAGCGCACGGGGCGCACAGAGAGAGAGCGAGCGCGAGCGCGCACGGGGCGCACAGAGAGAGAGCGAGCGCACGGGGCGCACAGAGAGAGAGCGAGCGCACGGGGCGCACAGAGAGAGAGAGCGACGGCGCACGGGGCGCACAGAGAGAGAGCGAGCGCACGGGGCGCACAGAGAGAGAGCGAGCGCACGGGGCGCACAGAGAGAGAGCGAGCGCACGGGGCGCACAGAGAGAGAGCGAGCGCACGGGGCGCACAGAGAGAGAGCGAGCGCACGGGGCGCACAGAGAGAGAGCGAGCGCACGGGGCGCACAGAGAGAGAGCGAGCGCAGCACAGAGAGAGAGCGAGCGCACGGGGCGCACAGAGAGAGAGCGAGCGCACGGGGCGCACAGAGAGAGAGCGAGCGCACGGGGCGCACAGAGAGAGAGCGAGCGCACGGGGCGCACAGAGAGAGAGCGAGCGCACGGGGCGCACAGAGAGAGAGCGAGCGCACGGGGCGCACAGAGAGAGAGCGAGCGCACGGGGCGCACAGAGAGAGAGCGAGCGCACGGGGCGCACAGAGAGAGAGAGAGCGAGCGCACGGGGCGCACAGAGAGAGAGCGAGCGCACGGGGCGCACAGAGAGAGAGCGAGCGCACGGGGCGCACAGAGAGAGAGCGAGCAGAGAGAGAGCAGCGCACGGGGCGCACAGAGAGAGAGCGAGCGCACGGGGCGCAAACAGAGAGAGAGCGAGCGTACGGGGCGCAAACAGAGAGAGAGAGCGAGCGTACGGGGCGCTTAGAGAGGAAGAGCAAGGGAGCGCAGAAAGAAACACGGATGAATGGGTGCACAGAGGGAGAAAGCGAGTGAACAGCATGCACAGAGAGTGAATGGGACACACAGATCAAGAGAGCAAGTGGGGTAATACCTGCTTGGTTCTTGCCCTCAGTTCTACCCCTTGGTATGCTGAAGCCTTAAGAGTTCCCTTCACTGGAACTAGGGGGCCAAGCCCAACCCTTGGAATACAACCCCACACCGTAATCCCCCCTCCACCAAACTTTGCACAATGCAGTCAGGCAAGTACCGTTCTCCTGGCCACCGCCAAACCCAGACACGTCCCATCGGATTGCCAGACAGAGAAGCGTGATTGGTTCCTCCAGAGAACATGCCTCCATGGCTCTAGAGTCCAGTGGCGGCATGCTTTACACCACGGCCTCCGATGCTTTGCATTGCACTTGGTGATGGAAGGCTTGGATGCAGCTGCTCGGCCATGGAAACCCATTCCATGAAGCTCTCTACGCACTGTTGTTGGGCTCATCTGAAGGCCACACCAAGTTTGGAGGTCTTTAGCTATTGACTCTGCAGACAGTTGGTGACTTCTGCGCACCGTGCGCTTCAGCATGCGCTGACCCCGCCCTGTCATGTGACGTGGCCTACCACTTGGTGGCTGAGTGGCTGTTGTTCCCAGTGGCTTCCACTTTGTTATAATCCCACTAACAGTTGAGCGTGGAATATTTAGTAGCCAGGAAATGTCACGGATGGACTTATTGCCCAGGTGGCCACCTATCACGGGACCACGCTTGGAGTCACTGAGCTCCTGAGAGCGACCCATTCTTTCACCAATGTTTGTAGAAGCCGTCTGCATGTCTAGGGGCTTGATTGTATACATCTGTGTCCATGGAGGGGATTGGGACACCTGAATCACATGATATGGAGGGGATTGGAACACCTGAATCACATGACTGGGAGGGGATTGGAACACCTGAATCACATGACTGGGAGGGGATTGGAACACCTGAATCACATGACTGGGAGGGGATTGGAACACCTGAATCACATGACTGGGAGGGGATTGGAACACCTGAATCACATGACTGGGAGGGGATTGGAACACCTGAATCACATGACTGGGAGGGGATTGGAACACCTGAATCACATGACTGGGAGGGGACTGGAATACCTGAATCACATGATTGGGAGGGGATTGGAACACCTGAATCACATGATTGGGAGGGGATTGGAACACCTGAATCACATGATTGGGAGGGTCTAATAAATCCTTCAGATGAAGTCCGGAAGTGACAAAACGCGTTAGGGGAGTGACGGCATCACGCACGCACGCTAACTGGAAGTGTCGCTGCGGCCATTTTGTTGGTTGGAAACATGTGATTTTCAACCTGAAACTTGAGAGAGGAATATGTGAAGCTGGATATCCCTGTTTTATATGTGAGTTACTATTAAAATTTGTCCATTTTTATGGATTCTGCCTAAGAGCCTTTTATGCTTTTATGAGGAGTTGGGAGGAAAACCTCTGAAAATGAAGGATTGAGAGATACGGATCTCCTATGTCAGCTCATGCTTGAAAATACTGGAAGAGGGTAATAGTACCTAGCATCACTTTTGGCTGGAGTTTAGAGGGTACAAGTACCTAGTATCACTATTTCACTTGTGACTGGAGTGATCACGTTTTTCACGATTTGGGTTTTATTTACTTATTTATTTATTTGGATTGTGATATATATTTGATTTATTTTGAACAAAATAATTTTTTGGTGTGTTTTTGTGTTGTGCACAGAGAGTGAAGTGTATATATATATATTTTTAAAGGGTAATACACTATGAATTTTCTTTTTTTCTATTTTTCTTTCTTTGAGGTGATCATGGAGTCTTAGAACCAATTTCTGCTTTACTGGATTGAAGGAAAAAAAATTTTGGAACTTGGACACTTTGGGTTTATTGAACACAATTTTTTAGATATAATTTTTTTTTTATATATATATTTTATTATAATTTTGATATTTTTGGGGGTTTTTGGTCTTTTTGCTTTTTAAAGACAGAATTGAGTGTGGATTTATGTAAACACAATTTAGTTGAAGTTATATTGATTATATTAATAGTTGGAGTTTTTTTGGGGATTTATATGTGTATCACAAAAGGATTGATTAGACTGTATACTTTCTAGGGAGAAAGTTGTGATTTTGTGTGAAGGGTTATAATATAGGAGCTTATTGATTGATTGAATGATTGGGAGGGGATTGGAACACCTGAATCACATGATATGGAGGGGATTGGAACACCTGAATCACATGATATGGAGGGGATTGGAACACCTGAATCACATGATATGGAGGGGATTGGAACACCTGAATCACATGATATGGAGGGGATTGGAACACCTGAATCACATGATATGGAGGGGATTGGAACACCTGAATCACATGATTGGAGGGGATTGGAACACCTGAATCACATGATTGGAGGGGATTGGAACACCTGAATCACATGATTGGAGGGGATTGGAACACCTGAATCACATGATTGGAGGGGATTGGAACACCTGAATCACATGATTGGAGGGGATTGGAACACCTGAATCACATGATTGGAGGGGATTGGAACACCTGAATCACATGATTGGAGGGGATTGGAACACCTGAATCACATGATTGGAGGGGATTGGAACACCTGAATCACATGATTGGAGGGGATTGGAACACCTGAATCACATGATTGGAGGGGATTGGAACACCTGAATCACATGATTGGAGGGGATTGGAACACCTGAATCACATGATTGGAGGGGATTGGAACACCTGAATCACATGATTGGAGGGGATTGGAACACCTGAATCACATGATTGGAGGGGATTGGAACACCTGAATCACATGATTTGGAGGGGATTGGAACACCTGAATCACATGATTGGAGGGGATTGGAACACCTGAATCACATGATTGGAGGGGATTGGAACACCTGAATCACATGATTGGAGGGGATTGGAACACCTGAATCACATGATTGGAGGGGATTGGAACACCTAAATCACATGATTGGAGGGGATTGGAACACCTGAATCACATGATTGGAGGGGATTGGAACACCTGAATCACATGATTGGAGGGGATTGGAACACCTGAATCACATGATTGGAGGGGATTGGAACACCTGAATCACATGATTGGAGGGGATTGGAACACCTGAATCACATGATTGGAGGGGATTGGAACACCTGAATCACATGATTGGAGGGGATTTGGAACACCTGAATCACATGATTGGAGGGGATTGGAACACCTGAATCACATGATTGGGAGGGGATTGGAACACCTGAATCACATGATTGGGAGGGGATTGGAACACCTGAATCACATGATTGGGAGGGGATTGGAACACCTGAATCACATGATTGGAGGGGATTGGAACACCTGAATCACATGATTGGGAGGGGATTGGAACACCTGAATCACATGATTGGAGGGGATTGGAACACCTGAATCACATGATTTTGGAGGGCGGGCCCAATACTTTTGGCAATATAATGCAGTACAGCCCACCCCACCTATTTACGGTCACAAGTCACACTTACAGCCATGTACGGCTTGCAGCCAGCGTCCATTGTTTTGGCTACAGAATCGACTAAATATCCGCTGATCCCGAAGTCGCACATCTTCACCTGGCCCTGCTTGTTGATGAGCACATTAGAAGGTTTTACATCTGAAAATATAAAGACATTCAGATGACTGAGCTGCAGAAGGGGAGAGGAGGCAACAATGGAAATGCATCTCTTCTAGTACAAGCGGTGTACAACCCCCCCGGTGAACAGAGGACCGGGCGTTCCCAAAGAGATGATGGATGCCTACAGTGAATGTGAACTTAGGTGAAGGTTCTAGAAATGTTAAAATCGATTCTAAAGGTTTATTTTTTTGTAAAATAACAAACATGTTATACTTCCCTGCTGTGTGCGGTGGTTTTGCACAGAGCAGTCTCCTCTCGGGTCCCCCGCAGGCTCTCCAGTCTGTCGGGTACCCCCATAGCAAGCAGCTTGCTATGGGGGCACCCGCTGCTCCGTGTGTTCACGCGCTCCGACTTGCTGTCTCAGCCAATGAGGAGGCAGACACCCAGAAAAGCCAAGGCTGTCATTCACATCACTGAGGCTCAAGTATAGGGGGGGGGTCTCTGCAACACGAAGGTAAAAAAAAAAAAAAACCTTCAACTTTTACAGCCACTTCAGTTGTGCTTCAGCAGTAACCTGGGCGGTTCATCCAAGTTCCTCCCTATAAACAGCAATTTTTCTGCACTGATCCCCAGAGCTGTATATGCCTCTGACTGCTGGTCTCACAGGATTCAGAATAGGATGTCATTACTGCTCTGTTTGCTGTTCTTCCACCTGGAGAGAAAGCTGCAGTGCAAGAATCTCCCTGCTTCTGGATGGTGGGAACCCCTCATAATGGGCACAGCGGGTGTTCAGACCCGGGAACTCAGCACAGGGATGGTGGGAGCCCCTCATAATGGGCACAGCGGGTGTTCAGACCCGGGAACTCAGCACAGGGATGGTGGGAGCCCCTCATAATGGGCACAGCGGGTGTTTCAGACCCGGGAACTCAGCACAGGGATGGTGGGAGCCCCTCATCATAATGGGCACAGCGGGTGTACAGACCCAGGAACTCAGCACAGGGATGGTGGGAACCCCTCATAATGAGCACAGCGGGTGTTCAGACCCAGGAACTCAGCACAGGGATGGTGGGAGCCCCTCATAATCGGCACAGCGGGTGTACAGACCCGAGAACTCAGCACAGGGATGGTGGGAACCCCTCATAATGAGCACAGCGGGTGTACAGACCCAGGAACTCAGCACAGGGATGGTGGGAACCCCTCATAATGGGCACAACAGTTTACCTCTCTACATAAAGAATGTGCTGGGGGGGGGGGGGGGGGGTACTTACCTCTATGAATGACAGAGAGTTTACTATGTAGATGTTCTAATGCTCTAACAATCTGGAAGACAAAAAATTAAAAGATATTAGGAGAGAACTTACAAAACGAACATCAAAATGTTCAATTTGTCATCAATGAAGAGCTTCCCCGCCCCTTCTATAGGGCCTCCTGTGTGGGTCTATAAAGAATTCAGGCAAACTAAATTGACCAATAGGAAAGCTGGGGAAAACGGGAGGAGGCGGGGCCTAGATCTCTCTGGATCTACTAATCAGATCCACATACAGTTTGAAGGCATTCTATAAAAGGGATGACTTCAACATGAATGACTCACCATGGCAGACGAGGGGTTCAGGAAAAACTTGCGGCAAACAAGTAAACTGCCATTGCGGGTCATCTGGAAATGTCAGTTGGCTCTGACCCTGGGAACATCTGGGTGTCTATACTGTAACACTGTCTGATGCTTGGTCATGTGACCCCTGCCAAGGAATTGGTCACATGTTCTTTCGCTAGCCGGCTGACTATTTAGGAAGCTTCAATCTACCACTTGACTACCAGTCGGTCACTCCCCTTTCCTGGCCGGGCCGTTGTTCTGCTTTCACTGCTGTGATAGTTTGACTGACAATTTTTCCGTCCTACAAAACTGTCCCCAATCAATTTTAAAAAAATTTTTCAGAGAGTTTTCTTTTGGAGGTCCATTCCCACTATGAAGTGAAGAAAGCAAAACTTTAGGGCTGTGCACCTCTCTTATATATACAGGCCAGTCCACCACTCAACCAGGGCCTCTACACCCCTCCCCATTTAGCAGGTTCCCGCCACTGTCAATTACGAGGGCGGGGTCCCGCCAGCGTCAGGAGGGCGGGTCCCGCCAGCGTCAGGAGGGCGGGTCCCGCCAGCGTCAGGAGGGCGGGTCCCCGCCAGCGTCGGAGGGCGGGTCCCGCCAGCGTCAGGAGGGGGGTCCCGCCAGCGTCAGGAGGGCGGGTCCCGCCAGCGTTAGTGAATGCAGCAAATAAAGGGACTGGCTGCTTGTGGGTGTTTTCTGCACTGTAGTTTCCCCTCTCCAGAATGTAGCATCCACCTCTCTGCCATTTTCTTGCCTCTATCGCTACACGGAAGCATTAGGTGACACGGCAGACGGGAGTAGCGGAGCGGCAGAGCAATGGCGGCCTGTCCTAGATGATCTTTCATTGATCTGAGATCACAGAGATGAACGTTTTGTTCGATGAGCGCAGATCTGACTTACAGAAACGGCTATTTTGCCCAGAATGTCCTCCGGGATGGTCAAGTCTTTGTCTATGACGTGTTTGTAGAACTTGTCCAGTGACGTGTCCATCAGCTCCATACAGATCCACACATCACCCTGCAGGAGACAAATCAGGAAGAGTCAATGATTGCGGTTGGACTGTTCAGCAAAAATTACAAAAAGAGGCCTTTTAGTCCCCAGTGACTTCAATGCAAAATTGCGTCCCATAGACTGATGCAAAAACGCACCCCTAGTGATTTCAGTGCACAATCGCGTCCCTATTGACTTCAATGCAAAAACGCCCCCCCTACCTAGTGACTTCAATGCAAAATCAAAATCACGTCCCATAGACTTTCATGTACAATCATGTCCCCATTGATTTCAATGCAGAATTGCCAGTCACATTAATTAAATAAAAAAAAAACAAAAAAAAAAAAACACATTTTAAAAATAGTCTTGTTTCTGTTTTCGGCCCAGTGCATCTTGAATTTTCGATTTCACCACCAGAATTTTCATCCTGGTGCACCACTACATAAAATAAAATTTTTGGTCTAAGAGTAACCGATAAATTCCTTCTTAACCCCTTCCAGTCCGGACGCTTTCACCCCCTTCCAGTCCGGACGCTTTCACCCCCTTCCAGTCCGGACGCTTTCCCCCCCTTCCAGTCCGGACGCTTTCACCCCCTTCCAGTCCGGACGCTTTCCCCCCCTTCCAGTCCGGACGCTTTCCCCCCCCTTCCAGTCCGGACGCTTTCCCCCCCTTCCAGTCCGGACGCTTTTTCCCCCCCTTCCAGTCCGGACGCTTTCACCCCCCCTTCCAGTCCGGACGCTTTCACCCCCTTCCAGTCCGGACGCTTTCACCCCCTTCCAGTCCGGACGCTTTCACCCCCTTCCAGTCCGGACGCTTTCACCCCCTTCCAGTCCGGACGCTTTCACCCCCTTCCAGTCCGGACGCTTTCACCCCCTTCCAGTCCGGACGCTTTCACCCCCTTCCAGTCCGGACGCTTTCACCCCCTTCCAGTCCGGACGCTTTCACCCCCTTCCAGTCCGGACACTTTCCCCCCTTCCAGTCCGGACACTTTCACCCCCTTCCAGTCCGGACACTTTCCCCCCCTTCCAGTCCGGACACTTTCACCCCCTTCCAGTCCGGACACTTTTTCACCCCCTTCCAGTCCGGACACTTTCACCCCCTTCCTGTCCAGGCCAATTTTCAGCTTTCAGCGCTATCACACTTTGAATGACAATTGCGCGGTCATGCAACACTGTACCCATATGAAATTTTTAGCATTTTTTTGAGACAGATAAAGCTTTATTTTTGTGGTATTTACTCACCACTGGGATTATTTTTTTTTGCTATATAAATGAAAAAATCCAAAAATTTTGAAAAAAAGTGTTTTTTTCTTATAAAAGAAGGCTGTTGTGAATGGCCCTGTACCATGTGATCTCTGTGATCATTCACAGATTTCACACGTAGTAAGCAATGTCGTCAGAAGTGACATCTTGCTTACTACTCTGCATGTGATCACTGATTGGCCAATCATGATCGGGACCTCGCAGAGAGGTCCCGTACGATGATCCGGAGGACACAGCGGGCACCGGATCGCGGTTCTGCGCGCTCCCAGGGAGCACGCACAGTCTATAATGGCGAGCGCCGTTTATGAACGGCAACCCCTCCCCTGCCACCCCAAAACCCCCCCCCCCCACCCCCCCCCAACCACCACCCACCCCCCCCCACACCCCCACCCCAAAACCCCCCCCCCCCCCCAAAAACCCAAAACGGACTGCCACCATCCGTCCGTTTATATACATGGGCCGGACGGCAAGCGGTTAAATATCCCAACATGGTTAAAAAAAAAATAGAAAAACAATATTGTTATATTTCTTTTGAATGTCCACATTGAAAACGCAGTGAACTCTACCTCTCGGAATAATGCTCCATAGAACGTGACAGTGAAGGGACAATCAACTGTGCGCATTGAGATATCGAGGTCCATCAGCAGTCGCTTCTGTTCCTGGCTGTTCACAGTGGCTCGAATACGCTGCAGAGAGGAGAAGACGTCATTAATGAGAGGACAGGAGACAACTGCCATTCACTCTCAGCTTTAAAGCCACAATGTAATCTGCCTTCACATTATACCTTCACTGACCCCCCCCCCCCCCCCTTCCTCATTAACATAATGATGATTTAAAATTAAACCTTTCCCTTTTAATACGTACTTTGTTGTGAGATCATAACTGGGTCTCTGTGCTCCTCTAGGTAATGCAGGAAGATCATGGCTGGTGGGAGGGCAGGCAGGGTGATGTACATAGCTTTCTGAAAACATCACAGCCCCCTGCCTCAGTACTGATGCAAACAGTGGATCTACTCTTGGGAGGCGTTGTGTGTTACTAGATCGGGGATTTGCATGGTAATGCCCACCTGTGGTACTAAGCCTCCATGACTGAAAGAACTGAAATCTAACAAATGAAAGGGGCGGGGCCAGTCAGGCTGCAGAGGAAAGAGCTAGATGATGCTGGACATCCTCCAGACAGGAAATGAGGTGGGCTCCTCTGAAAGGGGTGGAGTCAGGGACAGTCAGGCTGCAGAGGAAAGAGCTAGATGATGCTGGATGACCTCCAGCCAGGAAATGGGGCGGAGCTCTGACTGGCTGCAGCTTCTAATGCACATTGTGAGAAGCTCCCAGTGTGCAGTGAAATCAGAGGAAACCATTTCAGTCCAGGAGGGGAGCTGCACGACCGAAGGGGAGGAGCCGCTGCCCCCGGGCAAAACCGAAGGGGAGGAGCCGCTGCCCCCGGGCAAAACCGAAGGGGAGGAGCCGCTGCCCCCGGGCAAAACCGAAGGGGAGGAGCCGCTGACCCCGGGCAAAACCGAAGGGGAGGAGCCGCTGACCCCGGGCAAAACCGAAGGGGAGGAGCCGCTGACCCCGGGCAAAACCGAAGGGGAGGAGCCGCTACACCTGTGAAAGACCGAAGGGGAGGATGGAGTGAAGATTTAATCTGTAAGTGAACCCGACTTTCTAGCCGAGATTTTTTCAGCTCTGAATCAGAATTGTTCAAATCCAATCACTTCTGGTTCACACAGCTGCAGAGGAGATCGATATCTCAGACCAGTCACGTAAAAGTGATCCGGAGGCTCCCCAGCCACCCAGATCACTTGTACATTCAGCCCAGGTTCACGCCGGATCGTACGACTACACGTCCCACCATTTCAAAGTTGCATGTCAGTGAGACATCTGTGCGACTTCATCCACCGAAGTCCATGCAAGTCGCACCTGAAAATGCAAAAAGTAGTGCAGGAACTACGGTCAGAATCGAGGAAGTCAGAGTCGCGCCAATTTGAACAGTTCCATTGCCGACAATAAGGTACGGCTGTCAAATCGCAGGCCAAGTCGCATTGGTGTGAACCAGGGATCAAGCTTGGAGTCCACCAATGAGAAGAAGAAGCTGCATCTTGTTTTCAGTCTTTGGATTCACCAGATCCACACCAGATATGCACACCAGATATGCACCAGATCCACACCAGATATGCACACCAGATATGCACCAGATCCGCACCAGATATGCACACCAGATATGCACCAGATGCATCCAAAGAGGCAAACCAGATAGAATGCTGAATGCCGCTACCACAGAACGCGGCTATAAACCGAACGCCAGTCACCCACCTTCACTGCCATGATCTGTTCACTGGGCACATGGCGCATCTTCTCCACCACGCCGTACGCCCCGCGGCCCAGCTCCTCGATCGGTAACAGGTCATCTGCTTTTACTTCAAAGTTCTGAAAGCAGAGAAAACAGAATCACACCGACAGCTCCAGGCTAATGATAAAGCCAAACTTATAAAAATGTGAAAAATACAGCAACCCCCCCCCCCCCCCCCCCAATCAGTGTACTTTTTTTGTTTTGTTTTTTTTGTAATAATTTTAGGGTTAGAATCTCTGTTAGGTCTTTACTGCAGTCTGTTCCCACTAAGCAGCCATCCTCTATGTGTCCTGGTGATCACTATCCCAGGAATAGAAAGTAATGGAAAAGGAAAAGGGGGGGAATCTGTAAATGGGGACACCAGGCAGAGCCATGGATAAGGGGGTACCGCCAATCCTGTATGGGGCCCAGGCAGCTGGGTGACTCGGATGTGGGCAGGGAGGCCGATTGGCGTGGCGGGGAAGTGGGCAGGGAGGCCGATTGGCGTGGCGGGGATGTGGGCAGGAGGAGTGGGGCGGGGATTACTGGGACCGATCCCCTGTATGGCTCTCTTTGCAGCAGCTGAAAGCCGGCCTCTTCTCTTCAGCTGCTGCAGAAACAGCCATACAGGGGGATCGGTTCCAGTAATTGCCCCCCCTGTGCACCATACGCTTCTCCCTGCTGCCCAGGCATATTTACCAGTTCGTTCCTTCCCTGAACGATCACAATGAGTGATTGGTACTGATCACTCACTGTGTTCATTCATAACATAGTAAACGGTTTTGTTTTTTTTGTTTTTTTTTGGGGGGGGGGGGGGGCCCTGCCACCAGGTAAAGGTTGAAGCTGAACTGTAATGTAGACATATAATTGCAACACGCCAATACAATTTTTCAATCAAAACACTTATTTTGGAGAAATACGAGAGATTTTTTCCATACAAGTACATGGTACAGCAGGTGAATATCAGAAACATGAAATGTTGGCTTTACATATTCTTTAAGCCCGCCTTTAATTCCTGTCTGAACAACTTCAGTTATCATTGGTCCTCTCTCTTCCTGCTCCATACTGCTGGCCTTTCACAACTATCGGCTTTCTCTGCTAATGTTCTGTTCCAGTACATGATATAAAAGAACACATCACTGGCACCCTTTGGATGCACATGCTTCTTGGGTGGAGCAGGCTTTAGCTGTGCAATCTGCTGATCAGTTGCAAGCCAAGCGACCAATCAGCCGATTGCACAGCTAATGTTTTCAGCACCCAGTGGCCAGCAGGGAGGAGTAGCATGCATGTCTAAAGGGATGCCAGAAATGTGTTCTTTCATAGAACGCTGCTGGTTCCCTCACACCAAACTTGGCGTAAAGACAAGCAGCTTTATATGAAAGAATGTGAAATAGATGCAGCAACAAAAGGGTGGGTTTTAACGCCCACATGCGTCACTGGACAGCCAGTGTTTATGCGCCGGCTCTCTGCACATAGACAGCCATCTCACTTCGGGCTATGGACTGGTAGCCAGGGCTGTGGATAAGGGGGTACCGACAGTCCTCCTATACGGGGCCCAGGTCAGCAGGGGGGGGCAGGCAGCTGGGTGAATAGATTGTGGGCAGGGAGGCTGATTGGCACAGCGGGGGGCAATTTCAGCCAGCTGATAGCCAGCTTCTTCTCCTCTCCCACTGGCTTTCAGCTGAAGTAGAGTACAGAGGATTAGTTGCACTAAATGCCCAACCCCCCCCCTCCGGTACACCCATTTCCCCTGCTGCCTAGGCCCCTCCCCCTTGCAATGATGCTGCCATCCATCCACTCCTTCCCTCCAGCACTGCAATACACTTCAAGCTGCAATAGGATCCTTCAGGATGGAGAATGGAGGCAGGGTCCAGTAAATACGTCACGTTTACCAGCCCCTTCCTTTTCTGAATGAACACGAGTGATTGGCACCCATCGCTCACTATGTTCATTCATAACTGAAACATGGTTAAAAAAAAAAAAAAGTCTGTTGGGGAAGGGGGCCCCGTCAGGTCAGGTTGGCTGTCTAGGGCCTCGTGGTCTCTAACAGCAGCCCTGCTGGTAGCTGACAGGTTCATCTCCCGATTACGATCCACGATCCCTCTTGCCCCCCCCCCCCCCCCCATCTGGGTGTTTAGAACTTTTTAAAGGAATGTCAGGGGCAGGCAGTTCTGACTTTGGCAACTTTACCCGTGAAGCAGCCTTGAAAAGTGATGTGAAAAGTCATGACTTTTAGAAATACGCCCCCAGGTGTGTTTATCACGGTAACTCCCCCCCCCAAAGAAAAAAAATGAGGTTGAATAACAGCACTCGGTGGAGTTCTCCTGTAAGTGCGCCACGGGTCATGCAACGCACAATTACTCTTGCAGTCTCTCCGACATTATCCAGGTTGGACAGCCGCCAGGAGGGTCATTCCCATTCGTATGCTGCCTCCTTCTCCCGATCAGCCAGCTGGGAATGTGCCGCGTCACTAGAAAGATCCGACGCGAAGCGTCACAGCGAGCGGTTCTGCGAAAGTCTCTGACAAAACGATTGTAGAAGGGGGGAGGGGGGATCAGTGCCTCTATTCCAGGGCCGAGGGGCTGACCTGACTGCGTCTGACACCCCCGGCTCCGGCAGCACATATAAAACCTTTAATTTGCTGGTTCGCCCGGCTGAATCTTACAGCGCGGGGCAGGCGCTAGGCGAACGCAAATCCCTCTCTTCCTCTCACCAGCTGCTGCTGAGATCTCACATGCTTGGCAGGCGACGTTCCGGCAGGAACACAATGTTCCGTTCTGCGCTCGCAGGGAAGATCCGATCTGACAGGTAGGCAGACTTCAGAGAACACAACGCACGCTCAATACCAGGAAGTTTCCATGCGGCGCAGCGGTCTGCCTCCTGCATCAGCAAGGCAACGTATTTATCAAACATCCCCGTCCTGGGTGGGCGCCAACCGGCCAAAATCAACGGTCAGCTTCTGGTCTCCATAGCAGGTTAAAGAGACCCTGTCACCAACTGCAAAAATCCAGCATTAACCACTTCCTGTCCGGCCGCTGTATATAAAATGGCCAGACGGTGGCAGTGCAGGGGCGGGTTGTCGTTCATAAACGGCGCCTGCCTTTTTAAACTGTGCGTGCTTCCTGGGAGCGTGCAGCACCGCGATCCGGTGCCCGCTGTGTCCTCCGGACACAGTGCAACACCGATCATCGTACGTCCCGGGACCTCTGTGCGAGGTCCTGATCAGAAGCTGACCGTTGATTTTGGCCGGTTGACACCCACCCAGGACGGGGATGTTTGATAAATAGTTCCAATGAAGGGAAGGTGACATTTTGGACAATTTCATGCTCCCAACTTTGTGGGAAGAGTTTGGTGATGGCCCCTTCCTGTTCCAACATGACCAGGGCGGACTGACAACTCATGGGGCCCCCGGGCAATAGGGGATCATGGGGCCCCTGTGTCCTTGCCCAAACTCAAAAAAGCCTATGAAAAAGGTACCAGGGGCATCTCATGGGGCCCCCTACTGACCCCGGGCAGTGCCCGAGTTTCCAAATGGTCAGTCCGCCCCTGAACATGACTGCCCACCAGTGCACAAAGTAAGGTCCATAAAGACATGGAGGAGCCAGTTTGGGGTGGAGGAACTTGACTGTCCTGCACAGAGTCCTGACCTCAACCCCATAGAACACCTTTGGGATGAATTAGAGCGGAGACTGCGAGCCAGGCCTCCTCCCCCGACATCAGTGCCTGACCTGACAAATGTGCTTCTGGAAGAATGGTCCAACCTTCCCATAGACACCCTCCTAAACCTTGTGGACGGCCTTCCCAGAAGAGGTGAAGCTGTTATAGCTGCAAAGGGCGGGGCCAAGTCAATATTGAACCCTACGGACTAAGACTGGGGGGCCATTAAAGGTCATGTGTGTGGAAAGGCATGAGACCCAATATTGAACCCTACGGACTAAGACTTGGGGGGCCATTAAAGGTCATGTGCGTGGAAAGGCCGGCAGCCCAATATTGAACCCTACGGACTAAGACCGGGGGGGGGGGCCATTAAAAGTCATGTGCGTGGAAAGGCAGGAGACCCAATATTGAACCCTACGGACTAAGACTGTGGGGCCATTAAAGGTCATGTGCGTGGAAAGGCAGGCGGCCCAATATTGAACCCTACGGACTAAGACTGGGGGGCCATTAAAGGTCATATGCGTGGAAAGGCTGGCGGCCCAATATTGAACCCTACGGACTAAAGACTGCGGGGCCATTAAAGGTCATGTGTGTGGAAAGGCAGGAGACCCAATACTGAACCCTACGGACTAAGACCCGGGGGGGGGGGGGGCCATTAAAGGTCATGTGCGTGGAAAGGCAGGAAACCCAATATTGAACCCAAGGACTAAGACTGGCGGGCCATTAAAGGTCATGTGTGTGGAAAGGCCGGCGGCCCAATATTGAACCCAAGGACTAAGACTGGGGGGCCATTAAAGGTCATGTGTGTGGAAAGGCCGGCGGCCCAATATTGAACCCAAGGACTAAGACTGGGGGGGCCATTAAAGGTCATGTGTGTGGAAAGGCCGGCAGCCCAATATTGAACCCTACGGACTAAGACTGGGGGGGCCATTAAAGGTCATGTGTGTGGAAAGGCCGACGGCCCAATACTTTTGGCAATATAATGTACAATGATTGGGGGTTGAACCCACCAAAACTCCACTTTCAGGTTAGAGGACCTCCAACAGTCATCTCCATAATTACAGGTCCTTTATCATTGGATTCCCGGGACACGGTAGTAGAATTCCTCCCCCGTTATTATTTTTCCTGAGTTCTGGGTGGAGACGACCTCTTAATTCTCGGTGCAGATCACACACCATGTGCACTCGGATGACAGTTCGCATTGCATCACACAGATTAGGAAGGTAAACGAATGACTCGGTCGGAGCGCATTCCCTTCCAATGAACAGAAGCGGCAGCTGCTCTAATCCCGGTCAGCTGTCACGCAGGGTGTGACATCAGCGTGAGGTGGGGAGGGAGTGGCGTTCAAGTCACAGCAATGTATTTGCTCTGTGTGGGCGACGGGAGAGGAAACCTGCACCAGTCATGGAACTCTCTGAAAGACAAAACGAACCTCCACTACAGAGGTCTGATCCTGGACATGAAACCGACTTCCTGCCACGGTGACCCCCTGTACACACGGAGTCCATGGCCGGGAACACGCATGCAGACCAACACTTTACATTGTACTCACCTGCAGATGACACATTTAGTGACACCGAGGAGAAAAACCTTCAACCCAATATATTCCTTGCAATAAAGTTTTTTTTGTTTTTTGTTTTTTTTTTTTTAAAGTGTGATATTTCTCTAACCCTCCCCCTCCCCCACCCCCTTCTCTGTGTGTTGGGGAATAGAGGGGAGAATAGACCCAGCACTCTGCATCTCTTCCCCCCCCCCCTTTCTTCCTCACACAGCACTGGGGCAGCAGCCATAATGGTATAGCCACTTGTTCCCATGGCTGTATATATGGTCTGAGGAAAAACAAGTAGTTAACATGGTCTGCACTGTGCCCCCATGTGATGGCAACCATCTTGGTAGAGGGCAGGGCTTTTCTTCCTCATAACAGATCTGCCCCCCTGATGACTGGAGGGGTAATAATAGAGAGGTTGAGGAAGGACAGATCCACAGACTGGATGAAGAAGAAGCAGGGAGATCCTTCCACTGCAAGTCCTCAGGTATAGCTTCCTCTCCAGAAAGGAGAACAGTGGCCATCACAGATCCACAGGATGGACAAAGCAGAAGCAGGGTGAGCATTTCACTGCAGGTCCTCAGGTACAGCTTCCTCTCCAGCAAGGAGAACAGTGGTCATCACAGATCCACAGAATGGATAAAGCAGAAGCAGGGAGATCCTTGCACTTCAGGTCCTCAGGTACAGCTTCCTCTCCAGCAATGAGAATGATGGTCAACAGAATGGATGAAGCAAAAGCAGGGAAATACTTCCACTGCAAGTCCTCAGGTATAGCTTCCTCTCCAGAAAGGATAACAGTGGCCATCACAGATCCACAGGATGGACAAAGCAAAAGCAGGGAGATCCTTGCACTCCAGGTTCTCGGGTACAGCTTCCGCTCCAGCAAGGAGAAAAGTGGTCATCACAGATCCACAGGATGGACAAAGCAGAAGCAGGGTGAGCATTCCACTGCAGGTCCTCAGGTACAGCTTCCTCTCCAGCAAGGAGAACAGTGGTCATCACAGATCCACAGAATGGATAAAGCAGAAGCAATGAGATCCATCCACTGCAGGTCCTCAGTTACAGCTTCCTCTCCAGCAATGAGAATGATGGTCATCACAGATCAACAGAATGGATGAAGCAGAAGCAGGGAAATACTTCCACTGCAAGTCCTTGAGTACAACTTCCTCTCCAGCAGCACAGTAGTATGATCACCAAAATCTCCTGAGCCTAGCAGTCACAGGCAGCAGTGCCTTAGATGACCTCACACCGCAGATATACCGCAGGGAGGAATTCTTAGCCAGGTAAATTGCTCTTATTTTACAGGAAGAATTCAAGACAAAATGTAATACTTGGGGACAATTAACATTTCTAGATGTTCCCTATAAGATAGGAAACCTTCACTCCACCTGACCTGTCCCTGGCGCCAGCGGGAGGAAGAGCGCCCCGTCCCTGGCGCCAGGGGGAGGACTAGCGCCCCGTCCCTGGCGCCAGGGGGAGGACTAGCGCCCCGTCCCTGGCGCCAGGGGGAGGACTAGCGCCCCGTCCCTGGCGCCAGGGGGAGGACTAGCGCCCCGTCCCTGGCGCCAGGGGGAGGACTAGCGCCCCGTCCCTGGCGCCAGGGGGAGGACTAGCGCCCCGTCCCTGGCGCCAGGGGGAGGACTAGCGCCCCGTCCCTGGCGCCAGGGGGAGGACTAGCGCCCCGTCCCTGGCGCCAGGGGGAGGACTAGCGCCCCGTCCCTGGCGCCAGGGGGAGGACTAGCGCCCCGTCCCTGGCGTCAGGGGGAGGACTAGCGCCCCGTCCCTGGCGTCAGGGGGAGGACTAGCGCCCCGTCCCTGGCGTCAGGGGGAGGACTAGCGCCCCGTCCCTGGCGTCAGGGGGAGGACTAGCGCCCCGTCCCTGGCGTCAGGGGGAGGACTAGCGCCCCGTCCCTGGCGTCAGGGGGAGGACTAGCGCCCCGTCCCTGGCGTCAGGGGGAGGACTAGCGCCCCGTCCCTGGCGTCAGGGGGAGGACTAGCGCCCCGTCCCTGGCGTCAGGGGGAGGACTAGCGCCCCGTCCCTGGCGTCAGGGGGAGGACTAGCGCCCCGTCCCTGGCGTCAGGGGGAGGACTAGCGCCCCGTCCCTGGCGTCAGGGGGAGGACTAGCGCCCCGTCCCTGGCGTCAGGGGGAGGACTAGCGCCCCGTCATTGGCGTCAGGGGGAGGACTAGCGCCCCGTCATTGGCGTCAGGGGGAGGACTAGTGCCCTAAGGGCCAGATATAGGCAAGCAAAGGGCCACATCTGGCCCCCAGGCCTCAGTTTGGAGACCAATGGGCTAGAGCTACACAGGACATTTTAGCAGCTCGATTCTGCCAGTAATATTGCTAGTTGTAACAAATCATCACCTATAAAACGGAACACATTCCCCTTCACAGCTCATAGCAGCCACTCCCTACAAGATATGATGTGTAGCTTACTCCATAGGGACCCATCTGATCCATTGGTTTGGAGATTATTCACTACTCCTAGCAGTTAAGCACTAAATTCTGGTGGCAGAATAATTGGTCAACATGCCAATAACATGAATAAAGCGGGAGGGTACCTTCTCTCCTATTAGAACGCATGCCCTGGAGTCCAAGTCCCGAGGTGGCCTGGGGAGAGAAAAACGAAAAGAGGAAAACACTCAGGAGGCGTGAAAGACATTCAAACTTGTAGAGAGTTCAAGGCTTCTAGTGGCCCCATGGGCTCCTTCCAAAAAGCAATACATTTCCCAATTTTTGTTGGTAAAATATAAAAGATGAGGCTGCACCGAGTAAATAGATACCAAACATGTCCAAACTTAAAATGTTCCTAAACCCACAACAGTAAAATCAGTCTGTATATGCAGCAAAGCATGCTTGTTATACTCCCTGTGGAACCTAAGGGGTTAATCCTCCACATTGTGTAAAAAGGTGGTCTGATCCTGTCTTCTCTGATCCTCCCCTTCTACTGTTCCCAATCCATCTGCTGATAGTACAGAGCTCTAGGAGTCACTCTGCACACGCTTTAGTTTAGTGTGAATGGCTAGAGACTATTTTTTTCTTCTTGTTAAAGTGCTTATGATCAGGACAGGGCCAATCAGCGCTGTCCAGACAGAGGGTCAGGGGTCATGCAGCCTCATAGGTCAGTCAGAGCAGAATGAAAACTCCTCCTACAAGCTTTAACCAGTGCTCTGCTGGATACTGATAGAAGTCACAAGACTGCTCTATACTGCTGATGAGAAAAGGTATTTAGACATTTATATTTACGAAAATAATTGCACTTCCATGTTGTGTGCACTTCCATGTTGTGTCCGGGGAGAGCGGCTATAGGGGGCGCGGGGTCCGGGGAGAGCGGCTATAGGGGGCGCGGGGTCCGGGGAGAGCGGCTATAGGGGGCGCGGGGTCCGGGGAGAGCGGCTATAGGGGGCGCGGGGTCCGGGGAGAGCGGCTATAGGGGGCGCGGGGTCCGGGGGGAGAGCGGCTATAGGGGGCGCGGGGTCCGGGGAGAGCGGCTATAGGGGGCGCGGGGTCCGGGGAGAGCGGCTATAGGGGGCGCGGGGGGTCCGGGGAGAGCGGCTATAGGGGGCGCGGGGTCCGGGGAGAGCGGCTATAGGGGGCGCGGGGTCCGGGGAGAGCGGCTATAGGGGGCGCGGGGTCCGGGGAGAGCGGCTATAGGGGGCGCGGGGTCCGGGGAGAGCGGCTATAGGGGGCGCGGGTCCGGGGAGAGCGGCTATAGGGGGCGCGGGGTCCGGGGAGAGCGGCTATAGGGGGCGCGGGGTCCGGGGAGAGCGGCTATAGGGGGCGCGGGGTCCGGGGAGAGCGGCTATAGGGGGCGCGGGGTCCGGGGAGAGCGGCTATAGGGGGCGCGGGGTCCGGGGAGAGCGGCTATAGGGGGCGCGGGGTCCGGGGAGAGCGGCTATAGGGGGCGCGGGGTCCGGGGGGGAGAGCGGCTATAGGGGGCGCGGGGTTACATTTTTTACAATTTCTTTTTCTTTCTTTTTAAACACGGGGGACCAAGAGTCCCCTATGTGATGAATTTTTGGCGACAGGTTCTCTTTCATAAGACATTCAGGGTCCTGATGTCTCCCCTGCGCTCCACTGAGCCGTGTGTGGCCACCTTGCAGAGGACTGTACCGAGATCGTACAATCAGATTGCAATGTGTATGGCCAGCTTTACAGCACCACATTGAGGCCACGGTTACTAATCCTAGTTATGACAGGGAAGATGGATAGGGATAGTAGAATGCTGAAATATTCATCTACCTGGCATGGAACGAAGGGTCACGTGACCTTGTCCGAGCCACCGGGTCAGCGGCATCAGAATCTTCATTCTCGGTGACAACACGCTAGTAGTTTGGCTGCCACGGCTTTAAGTCATGTGACCCAGAGACTTACCCCGGTTACTGCTGACAGGCAGACTAATCCTTCCTTCTACCCACCCTATTATGTCTGCCTCAACCCCGCCCCCCGACCCCCCCCCCCCCAGTATTCTACAAAGACTGTAATATTAGTTTAGGGTGGACTAGTCCTTCAGAGGTAGCAGATAACAGCCAGCAGGGGGCAGTCCCGGGTCACCATTGGCTCACCTCGGCCTGGAATGTCAGGAATGTAACAGCTGGGGATTCTTTGTGCCGAGACTCAATCATGATGTCAGCTCAGTGGCACCTCACGTCCCCCAGGAACTTCCACAGGCCACTATGAGAGCCAACAAAGAGGACCTGTCTAGTCACAGAGAAGAGAGGAAGACTGGGCCAAATGCAGGACAACCCACACATCTATAGGAAAGGAACAACTCCAACCGGGTCAGATCTATAGGAAAGGAACAATTCCCTCCGGGTCGGATCTATAGGAAAGGAACAAATCCAACCGGGTCGGATCTATAGGAAAGGAACAAATCCAACTGGGTCGGATCTACAGGAAAGGAACAATTCCCTCCGGGTCAGATCTGTAGGAAAGGAACAAATCCAACCGGGTCGGATCTATAGGAAAGGAACAAATCCAACCGGGTCGGATCTATAGGAAAGGAACAAATCCAACCGGGTCGGATCTATAGGAAAGGAACAATTCCCTCCGGGTCAGATCTATAGGAAAGGAACAAATCCAACCGGGTCAGATCTATAGGAAAGGAACAAATCCAACCGGGTCGGATCTATAGGAAAGGAACAAATCCAACCGGGTCGGATCTATAGGAAAGGAACAAATCCAACCGGGTCGGATCTATAGGAAAGGAACAAATCCAACCGGGTCGGATCTATAGGAAAGGAACAAATCCAACCGGGTCAGATCTGTAGGAAAGGAACAAATCCAACCGGGTCGGATCTATAGAAAAGGAACAATTCCCTCCGGGTCAGATCTATAGGAAAGGAACAAATCCCTCCGGGTCAGATCTATAGGAAAGGAACAAATCCCTCCGGGTCAGATCTATAGGAAAGGAACAAATCCAACCAGGTCGGATCTATAGGAAAGGAAAAATTCCCTCCGGGTCAGATCTATAGGAAAGGAACAATTCCCTCCGGGTCAGATCTGTAGGAAAGGAACAAATCCAACCGGGTCGGATCTATAGGAAAGGAACAAATCCAACCGGGTCGGATCTATAGGAAAGGAACAATTCCCTCCGGGTCAGATCTATAGGAAAGGAACAATTCCCTCCGGGTCAGATCTATAGGAAAGGAACAATTCCCTCCGGGTCGGATCTATAGGAAAGGAACAAATCCAACCGGGTCGGATCTATAGGAAAGGAACAAATCCAACCGGGTCGGATCTATAGGAAAGGAACAAATCCAACCGGGTCGGATCTATAGGAAAGGAACAAATCCAACCGGGTCGGATCTATAGGAAAGGAACAAATCCAACCGGGTCGGATCTATAGGAAAGGAACAAATCCAACCGGGTCGGATCTATAGGAAAGGAACAAATCCAACCGGGTCGGATCTATAGGAAAGGAACAAATCCAACCGGGTCGGATCTATAGGAAAGGAACAAATCCAACCGGGTCGGATCTATAGAAAAGGAACAATTCCCTCCGGGTCAGATCTATAGGAAAGGAACAAATCCAACCGGGTCGGATCTATAGGAAAGGAAAAAAAATTCCCTCCGGGTCGGATTTACAGGGCCTTGACAAAGTCTTCCTCCCCCTTGAAATGTCCCCCATGTTGTCATGTTACAATGTATTTATCGGGATTGGATGTGATGGACCGACACAAAGTGGCTCATCATTGTGAAGTGGAAGGAAAATGAGAAATGGTTTTCAACTTTTTTTTTACAAATAAAATATCTGAAACGCAGCACATACGCCCGCAGCACAGCAAACACATCAACAGCCCACACCCCCAAAAACACACTAGCAGCGCAGCGCATACACCCCCAAAAACACACTAGCAGCGCTGCACATACACCCGCAGGAACACACTCGCTGCACATACACCCGCAGGAACACACTCGCTGCACATGCACCCGCAGGAACACACTCGCTGCACATGCACCCGCAGGAACACACTCGCTGCACATGCACCCGCAGGAACACACTCGCTGCACATGCACCCGCAGGAACACACTCGCTGCACATGCACCCGCAGGAACACACTCGCTGCACATGCACCCGCAGGAACACACTCGCTGCACATACACCCGCAGGAACACACTCGCTGCACATACACCCGCAGGAACACACACACAGCAACACACCCACAGTACAGCACCTACAGTTGCAGCAATGCACTAGCAGATCGGCACATACACCCGCAGCAATGCAGCAGCAGCGCAGCACATACACCCCACTAATACTTTCTGTGAATATTTCCCCCCTTAACATCTGTGGTCTTAGCGTCACCCGAGGCGCAGTTGCCCCCGACTAATGTAAGGTGTACATACGTGGGTGGGCTGGTCTTTGGTTCTTCGAAAACTTTAAGTTTGGGCAGTCCTGGGTTCTTCTTCTTCTTATCTGTAAACAGACAAAGCAAGAAATTATAACCTATAGAAATCACACAAAACGACAACGTAGCACACGGAGCACTGCAAGCCACGCCACCTAGAATGTACTTCTTCATCTACAATTGGGTGCTGGGGTGGTCGGGCGCTGGGGTGGTCGGGCGCTGGGGTGGTCGGGCGCTGGGGGGTGGTCGGGCGCTGGGGTGGTCGGGCGCTGGGGTGGTCGGGCGCTGGGGTCTGACCCGCAGGTCTAGGATTGATCACAATGAGCTCTGCCTGCGCTCCTGCAGTCCAGGCAGGTATGTGGGGGTGCTGCTAATTTTATCTCCTTCCCACCCCCCCGCTTTAATAAGTTCTGCACACCCAGGGGCAGGAAAGATCCGCGATTACATGACCGTGGGGATTGGCTGGTGGTCACATGACTGGAAGCTGGTCCCACAGACTACAGATCCTTAGACCGGACCACGGCCTGTGACAGTTCAGCCTCTGTGCTGGGAGTGTGCCGTGAGCGAGCTCTCCGCACAGACACATGGATCGCCCAGTGACACCTATGTGCTGCGTGTCGGCTGTGAGGTTCACCCATCGACCAATACACGTTACAGGGGACCTACCTCAAAATAAGGCCCATTCACTTCACACTGCAATGCACGCCTTTACATGCATTGGGCCGTCCTTTAAAAATAAATGGGTTGCCATGCACACAAAAAAAAATATCACTTCCTCCTCCCTTCTACAAAGTTACAATGTACAGTCTGATTGATGGGGGAGGGGGAGACTGAGGAAATGCCTCCTCCTCCTTCTACAAAGTTACAATGTACAGTCTGATCACCGGGGGAGGGGGGGGGACTGAGGAAATGCCGCCTCCTCCTCCTTCTACAAAGTTACAATGTACAGTCTGATCACTGGGTGAGGGGAGACTGAGGAAATGCCGCCGCCTCCTCCTCCTACAAAGTTACAATGTACAGTCTGATCACCGGGGGAGGGGGGACTGACGAAATGCTTCCTCCTGCCTGTAGCAGAATGGGTTCCCACCATCCCTGCGTGGAGTTCCAGGGTCTGTACACCCGCTGTGCCAATTATGAAGGGTTCCCACCATCCCTGCAGGAACACCCCAAGAAAAACTCCCAGACAGAACATGGATGGAAAAATGACCGAAGGAGCAATCTAAGACAGTGGTCTCCAAACTGTGGCCCTTTGCTTGCCATTATCTGGCCCTTGGGGCACTGTTTGTCTTACTGATAGGACACATTATCCCTCCCACTGACACCAAGGATGGGGGCGCTATCCCCCCCACTGACACCAAGGATGGGGGCGCTATCCCCCCCACTGACACCAAGGATGGGGGCGCTATCCCCCCCACTGACACCAAGGATGGGGGCGCTATCCCTCCCACTGACACAAAGATTGGGGGCGCTATCCCTCCCACTGACACCAAGGATGGGGGCGCTATCCCTCCCACTGACACCAAGGATGGGGGCGCTATCCCTCCCACTGACATCAAGGATGGGGGCGCTATCCCTCCCACTGACACCAAGGATGGGGGCGCTATCCCTCCCACTGACACCAAGGATGGGGGCGCTATCCCTCCCACTGACACCAATGATGGGGCACTATTCCTCCCACTGACACCAATGATGGGGCACTATTCCTCCCACTGACACCAATGATGGGGGCGCTATTCCTCCCAATGACACCAATGTTTGGCCCCCCCCTGAAGTCTGAAGTTTGGAGACTCCAGCTCTGGGACATACAAGAAGCCAGGAGATGATCCAACCCAACAGAGATCTTACAGAGTGACAACATCCTATTTGTACGGAGCGACCCATCAGTCCCATGACACCATGGGGTCACCACGACACCACGGGGTCACCACGACACCACGGGGTCACCACGACACCACGGGGTCACCACGACAGGCGGCCACACACATGTGCGTTGTGGGATGCGCCTTATGAACGACACACCTTGTACTGTCCTGGGGCATGAACCGTATATTGGGTGTGCAGCCCACTCCAGCGTGCAATCGGGGGGCCATTCAGGACGCAGGCGGTACCGCACTCAATGGGCCCCTACCAGCAGAATGCACCAAGAACGTTTATCGGTTCCCTTCAATAGTTCGCTCTCTCATCAACACCAGAGATCTCCATAGACGTGAGACGGACGGCAACCGCCAGACCATGTAGATTGGAGGTCCTCACCACGCCTGCACTATGCAGGCAATCTGTGCCACCCCTCCCCCACCCCAATCTACATCTGACATAGGAATACAATCATCGCAACAGCCCTAAACTGGCCACACACACAGCAATCTGACAGAACGATCGAACATTCCCGGTTATTGATGGACAAGGAGATGGGATTATACTTCAGACATTTCTATGACAATCACATCTCTGATTACAAACTGCCACACATAAAATTCAGGGAATATATAGTGTCAATAACGGCAGACGGGCTACGGGGGGACGACCAGAGACTGCAGACACAGTACAGGAGATGACCAGAGACTGCAGACACAGTACAGGAGATGACCAGAGACTGCGGACACAGTACAGGAGATGACCAGAGACTGCGGACACAGTACAGGAGATGACCAGAGACTGCGGACACAGTACAGGAGATGACCAGAGACTGCGGACACAGTACAGGAGATGACCAGAGACTGCGGACATAGTACAGGAGATGACCAGAGACTGCAGACACAGTACAGGAGATGACCAGAGACTGCAGACATAGTACAGGAGATGACCAGAGACTGCAGACACAGTACAGGAGATGACCAGAGACTGCGGACACAGTACAGGAGATGACCAGAGACTGCGGACACAGTACAGGAGATGACCAGAGACTGCAGACATGATACTCATAGTACTGGAGTTCTCATTGGACAGAGACTGGAGAAAACCAGACAAAAAACTGCCCCTTTATTGGCCGAGCTTTAGTCTCCTATACAGTGACAGCACAGCATGCACACAGCAATCCAGCAACCAGCAGACTCACCCACTCCGGTCCTGGAGGAAACCTTCTTCATGCACCCCGGAGCTGTGACAGATCAAAGGAACACCTAGAATGAAACGTCTCCACCGCCAACCATTCCCCCTCACCGCGCCGGCACACATCCCCCCCCCCCTCACCGCGCCGGCACACATCCCCCCCCCTCACCGCGCCGGCACACATCCCCCCCCCCTCACCGCGCCGGCACACATCCCCCCCTCACCGCGCCGGCAGATATTCACTCTCACTGTACAGATCTGCATCATACAATGGGGGGGACCCCGTATCCTGTACTGCACAATATGAGGGGACCCCGCGTCCTGTACAATGGGGGGTCCCCCGTCCTGTACTGCACAATATGGGGGGACCCCGCGCCCTGTACTGCACAATGGGGGGTCCCCCGTCCTGTACTGCACAATATGGGGGGACCCCGCGCCCTGTACTGCACAATGGGGGGTCCCCCATCCTGTACTGCACAATGGGGGGTCCCCCATCCTGTACTGCACAATGGGGGGTCCCCCATCCTGTACTGACACAATGGGGGGTCCCCCATCCTGTACTGCACAATGGGGGGTCCCCCATCCTGTACTGCACAATGGGGGGTCCCCCATCCTGTACTGCACAATGGGGGGGTCCCCCATCCTGTACTGCACAATGGGGGGGTCCCCCATCCTGTACTGCACAATGGGGGGGTCCCCCATCCTGTACCGCACAATGGGGGGTCCCCCATCCTGTCCCGCACAATGGGGGTCCCCCATCCTGTCCCCGCGCCCCAGAACAGACTCTAGGGGTCATCAGTGTGTTCAGAGAAAGCAACACCACCCTCCCCCCCATTCTAAGGCAGCCCACCAGGGGTCCCTCCACCATTCCCTACAATGGAGACACAGCAGCATCTCATTAAGTTGTAAACAGAGCAGATCTACTATCAGAGGCCTTGGGGGGGGGGGGGGGGGGGGGGGGGGTACAGGGAGGTGTGTATATATGGGGGAGGGGGGTGTGTATATATGGGGGAGGGGGGACACACTGTATGAAACCTGCTGCACCCAGACATATGTGACATCAGACTCGCCTATCCCCCCCATCAATGCTGCCTTCCTGCCCATCCTTAATATTTAAAGTCTGACGCTAAACAAGCATGCAGCAAGTGTTGCCAGACTCCCAAACTCTGCATACACATTCTCCTGGGCCTGCCGGGCTGAATACAAATTGAAGACCATACACCATGCAATCTAATTGTACAACCCCCGTTACATCTGCTAAGCAGCAATGTAGTGTAGGGGCCTGCCTGATTGGATGCGGATTGATTGGGGGTGTGTCTTCATGTTACCCTGAAGCTCCTCCCCTCTTGCTTCTTGTAAAAGCAATCAAAGCGGCTAGTCGCTCTTTTATCCAGGTAAGCGGTTAAAAAAGCCTTTCCAGGTTTCCAGGTTAGAGAAACACAGGAAGTCCAGTGCTAGAATAATCGCTCTCGCTATAACCGATCGCAGCGATACCTCACATGGGTGGGGCGATCGCCGTTTACATACCCATGCGGGACCGACGCATGCGTTCACCTTTGCCCACGAATATGGGGATGGGGGAAGGCTGCTTAAAAAAATAGCCACGCCCCTCCTAAAGGCTGGAGCAGTGACAGGTCCTTTTTATGGACCCCACATCTCTCCTGTGCCCCCCAGGCCGGGTTCACACCGATGCAAAACGCACCGCAGTCACTTAACATGGTTTCTTTTGGGACGCGTTCACATCCTTGCGCTTTTCAGCTGCTGAATGGACGGGGACTTTTTTTTTTGTTAATGAAAACGTGTATTTTTGGTTCAATAATCAACGGACACGCAGCAGAAACATGTAGACTGTTCTTCATGCGACTTTGGATGGGCGTGACTTTGATGGAACCATTTTGGGGTTTTTTTTGCTAATAGGAAAGTATGAGTGTTTATGTAGTGCGACTTTAATGCGACTTTACACACTCTGGAACTCAAGTAGCATCCATCCAACGTCACATCCAAGTCACCCCCCCCCCCC